AGAGCAAGAGGAAAGAGAACGAAGAGAGGAGAAGAGAGAAGAGAAAGAGAGATTCTCATATCTCCAATACACATTTTTTTTTTTTTTTTTTTTTTTTTTGTCGCATCAGAAAGTACCTATCAGTTCTCTCTCTCCGCGACCAGAAGTCACGCGTTGGCACACAGATGGAAGTGCCAATCAGGCTGACACTCGCCTTATCCTATGTGAAATCCTGCGCTGAATGGTCTAAGATAGCATGCCCCCTCCCCCCTCCCCATATCCCCCCATCCCCCGTTCTCCTTTCTCTCTTCTCACTCTCACAACCGTTCACACATTTGTATACATGCAGTTAGAGTTACAAGTACACGTGTATGGATTGTGATACATATAAATATATACGAATGATACGTATACTCAGTCGAGAGGACGCAAGAACACAGCTGCAAATACTTTATCGCACAGACATTCTCGTATATAAATGACACAATTATTACCACAATTCTTTATTTGCTCATGTTCTTATTATGTTTATATGGATACGGTTTTCGTTATTATTGGTGTTATCACTATTTTCGCCATTACCATTATTATATTTGCTCCTATTTTCATTTGAGTGACTTTACTTTTACTATTTCCGCTACTTTCACTGCTATTATCATTATTTTCATCATTATCATTATCGTTATTATTATTATTATCATCATCATTATTATTATTATTATTATTATTATTATTATTATTATTATTATTATCATTATGATTATTATTATTATTATTATTGTTATTGTTATTATTATTATTGTTATTATTATTATTATTATCATTATTATTATTATTATTATTATTATTATTATTATTATTATTATTATTATTATCATTGTTATTATTATTATGATCATTATTATTATTATTACTACTACTATTATTATTATTGTTACAATCATAAATAATATTGATATTGTTGTTATAAATATTATTATTATCACTATCATTTCTACAATCTTTGTTATTATCATCATTATCACCGTTATATATTATTCTAATTATTATCATTATTATACTCATTATTGTATTTTTGGAAAGTAATATTATTACTATTATTATTCATGGCTGTTATTATTGTCTTTATTATTAGCATTATTATTATTACCATTATTCTTGCTATTATCATTATTATGATCCTATTTCATTATTAGCATTGATACCTTTATTACTATTATTATTATTACTATTATTATTATTACTATTATTATTATTACTATTATTATTATTACTATTATTATTATTACTATTATTATTATTACTATTATTATTATTACTATTATTATTATTACTATTATTATTATTACTATTATTATTACTATGATTATTATTGTTATCTCCGTCATTATAATCACTAGTATTGTAAATATTATCCTGATCATTACTATCATCTCTACACTTATTATCTTTGAGGTTTTTATTATTCTACAGTCGTCAACTTTCATTATCTTATTCCCCTTTCTCTGCCATTCACGTAATGTTTAATTAAAGACAGAGAGAGAGAAAAAAAATCACATTTCTACGATTCACAAGTCAACGCGTACACCATAATATTTGTAATCTCATCTAAAAAGAAGAAAAAAATACCAACTCCAGTAACTCAGTCAAAAAGAAAAAAAAAATCATGAATATTCATATATTCATATTCCATACCTCACCCGTAAAAAAAAAAAAAAAAAAAAAAAAAAAAAAAAAAAAGAGAGAGAAACAGAGAGAGAGAGAGAGGGAGAGGGAGAGGAGAGAGAGAGAGAGAGAGAGAGAGAGAGAGAGAGAGAGAGAGAGAGAGAGAGAGAGAGAGAGAGAGAGAGAGAGAGAGAGAGAGGGAGAGGAAGAGAGAGAAAGTGAGAGATAGAGATAGATAGATAGATAGAGATAGATAGATAGATAGATAGAGAGAGAGAGATAGACTAAGAGACAAAGAGAGAGAGAGAGAGAGAGAGACTGAGAGACAGAGAGACAGAGACAGAGACAGAGACAGAGGACAGAGAGAGAGAGGACAGAGAGTACAGGAGAAGAGAGACGAGACGAGGAGAGAGAGAGAGAGTAATTGAGAGAGAGAGAGAGGAGAGAGAGACAGAGGACAGAGAGACAGAGAGACAGAGAGACAGAGAGACAGAGAATGAGCGAGAGGAGCAGAGAGAGAGAGAGAGAGAGAGAGAGAGGAGAGAGAGGAGGAGGAGAAGGAGGGAAAGAGAGACGGAAGGAGAGGGAGGAGGAAAAGGAGAGAGAGAAGAGAGAGAGAGAGACGAGAGAGAGAGAGAGAGAGAGAGAAGAAGAGAGAGAGCAAGAGAAAGAGAACGAAAGAGAGAAGAGAGAGAGAAAGAGAGATTCTCATATCTCCAATACACATTTTTTTTTTTTTTTTTTTTTTTTTTGTCGCATCAGAAAGTACCTATCAGTTCTCTCTCTCGCGACCAGAAGTCACGCGTTGGCACACAGATGGAAGTGCCAATCAGGCTGACACTCGCCTTATCCTATGTGAAATCCTGCGCTGAATGGTCTAAGATATTATTATTATCATTATCATTTCTACAATCTTTGTTATTATAATCATTATCACCGTTATCTATTATTCTAATTATTATCATTATTATACTCATTATTGTATTTTT